CCACCATTTTACTTTGGAAATAGCTAGATGAACCACCACTTCTACTCCAACAGTTTCTTTTATCACACTTCCCGACAGTGGAACTCCCTTCCGTTTACTTGCTTTCGTGATAACTACAATCTTAAACATTTTAAACGCAACGTCATTCGCTATATTCTATCTTCTTGAATCCCGTTCATCTTTTGTCTTTTCTTCAATCCTCTCTATTTTCAGTCTTTTCTTTTATTTTCACTCTCCCTATACACCCCCCCCCTGCGTACTCGTGACATTTCCACCTTGCCTAGGGAGATATGTTTAAAGACAATAATCCAAAGTAAGTTAGACTAATTTCTCCTGGGTTTGGGATGAGGAGAAAAGTCATGTGAATCTAGCGTTGCTCTGATGGGAGTTTTTATCATTTCAGTCGGTCAATCCTAGACAGTTTCATCGATTGCTGCCTTAAATCGGTCTAGCCGAGAAGAGCATATGCCTGATTTCAACGTCAGATTTGGCAGCAGGAGCTCCCAATTTTTTTTTTTCAATCCAACAATATACCACAAAACACACCTTCTTTGGATGACCACTGGTTTTCGAGGGGTTAACAGTGTCTCGTTTTTTTCTCCAGCGCCTTTTACGCTCCACATTGTTGTAAGCCATCATTTTTCATCGCCTGTGATCGTTCGTTTAAAAATGTTTCGATCTTTTTGCATTTGTGCAACGGCTCGCGGACGGTTAATATATTTTTTTCCGTTTTTTTTTCGGCACCCAAACGTCGTATCGATTCACGTATCCAAATGTTTTTAAAAGCCATGAATCGAATGGAAAGACACCTTTCAAGATGTTTATATCATATCGTAAAAAACTTTTGTTTCATGCTGATCTTATTTTAGTTATATTTTTTTACTCATATAATAAACCAAACGAATTTTCTATTTCGCCCAATCTTTTTTCTATTCTCTTTCGAGTTTATTTGTTAAAGAGATTTTCATCAATGGTATAGAAGCCTAAATTGCTATCTGAAATAAAACTGATCGACATAAATATGGAATGGTACTGAAAGCCATAAAACGATAATAAAAGATTTATTTTATTTTCTAAAAGACGTCCATGTTTGTAAAACAGATTCACCGAATATTTCGAGTGATTTCCTTTCCACAACAACAACAAAAAAAGAAATGGAAGATTTTATTTTGAAGTTCAAAACGAAAATCTGTAGAAAATGTTTCAGCTTTAAAGAAAATCCATGAAGTGGGTAGGGATAGGTGAAAGATGAGGCTACGTGAAATCTTGCGAAAAACTGGCAAACTTTGGTCGAAATAAAACGGAAACTTACGAGAGAGAATGGTGGAAGTTTTACCGAGTCAGACTCTGAGGTTGATTCACACGGTTCAGCTGAAAACCATCTTGAGATTTCCATCCAAATTGAAGATCCTATTTTGGAGGTTTAATGCACAAACAAATCGATTAACAGATCGATAAAAAGGTAAAACAATTGATTGAGACAGATATGTACAAGCAGATAGATAGATAAACAGACTAACATAGATAGATAGATAGATAGATAGATAGATAGATAGATAGATAGATAGAAATATAAAGAGGTTGTAATAGATAGATACATACATAGTAGACTGAGATAGATAGATACATAGATAGATACATAGATAATGAACAGGCCAATATAGATAGATAGATAGATAGATAGATAGATAGATAGATAGAAATATAAAGAGGCTGTAATAGATATATACATACATAGTAGACTGAGATAGATAGATACATAGATAGATACATAGATAGATAATGAACAGGCCAAGATAGATAGATAGATAGATAGATAGATAGATAGATAGATAGATAGATAGATAGATAGATAAAGAGGCTGTAATAGATGCATACATACATACATACATACATAGTAGACTGAGATAGATAGATAGATAGATAGATAGATAGATAGATAATGAATAGGCCAAGAGAGAGTGATAGATAGATAGATAGATAGATAGATAGATAGATAGATAGATAGATAGATAGATAGGAAGGAAGGAAGGAAGGAAGAAAGGAAGGAAGGAATGAAAAAAGAGAAAAGAGAGAGAAAATGTGCATCAAGATTAGAAACGACTTTTTCGTTAAGATAAGAAATGCAGTTAGTGAGAAGGGAGGTCTCGCTATTTTTAGCTGGGTCGATATGCTTTTCCTAACATATTTTCGGAAGAGAATTTCATATTGTAAACAGGTGCAGGTACTCAATATATTAACGATGAGATATATTTACTTCTGTACGTAGCTGATATACAATTACATGCATATATATATATATATATATATATATATATATATATATATATATATATATATATATATATATATATATATATATATATATATATATATATATATATCGTGCTTGTCGATATGTGTGTTTAGATAGAACGTGTCATTAGCCAAATTTAGATTCCAATCAAGTATACGGTTTTGGTATTTCGTAGTGAGGCAACTATACACATACATATAGATATACCTATATATATTTACATGTTTATGTGGGTGATAGCTAGCTAGATAGATTTGATAGATAGAACAATGTTCATACATATATCTATATATTCGTGTATATATCTGTGTATGCGCTTATGTGTATTGTGTATGTGATTGTGTCTACGTATGTATGCGTGCACGCGCTGATAGATATAAACATATAAACATGTGATATATATATATATATATATATATATATATATATATATATATATATTGATAAATAGAATACGATAAATAGAATACGATAGATAGATAGATAGATAGATAGATAGATAGATAGATAGATAGATAGATAGATATGAACATGGTCATATGTAGATTTATATATCTATTAGCTAATGTGTGTGTGTGCATATTCTCTTTTCCCATGTTTTGGATAGGATTAGAGGTTTATCCCTGGATTCCTGTTTAGGATTGGGTTTCCGTTAACTTCTAAAATCGTTTAATTCTCTTTCACTCATCGTCTTAGTGGCATTATTGCCTTGCCTGGGGTGAAAAAAAATGCGTGCATGACGATATAAAATACGATATTGATATAAATGGGTTTGTATATACATATACATAAGGCTTGAAGAAGAGAGATCCGAATAAATTGTGAAAGGCAGAAAGAAAGAAAGAAAGAAAGAAAGAAAGAGGAGAAATGGAAAGTAAGGAAGAAAGAAAGAAAGAAAAAAAGAGGAGAAATGGAAGAAAGAAAGAAAGAAAGAGAGAAAGAGAAGAAATGGAAAGAAAGAAAGAAAGAAAGAAAGAAAGAAAGAAAGAAAGAAAATTTAAATCAATATGTAATCATTTGGCAAATCTTGGTTGAATTTTTTAAAATTAGTAAGTTGTTTGAATTTTTACTACCTAAATGTACCGCATATATATATATATATATATATATATATATATATATATATATATATATATATATATATTCAGTTGTATGTATATGAGTTTGTGACCCTGGCTTTTGAGGGGGAATTTTCTTCCGTGTCTGTTCGGGATGACACTCACACACACTTGGAACAGACACACATACAGGTGTGCACATTTTAGTTCACATACATGTATGTATGTATGTCTCTGTATGTCTCTGTGTATGAGAGTGTCACCCCACATAAACACAGAAGTAAATCCCCCCTCACCCTCAAACATAGTTAGACAAGTATAAATAGATCCAATTTTAAAAAATAAAACAGTTTGTCTGACGAACGCAAAAGCGTGAAATCCAGGTAACACACACACACACACACACATATATATATATATATATATATATATATAGTAGTTAATATACACATATACATATATATATATCTCAAAAATATATATATATATATATATATATATATATATATATATATATATATATATATATATATATATATATATATATATATATATATATATATATATATATATATTCCCAAGAGGATAGAATCCAGGTAGAACTCAATGTCCAGGACAGAGTAAGAATATAATATAAAGGCTCAAACACTAATATTCTATGGTTATAATTTATTACATTGGAATCGTAATTACGCTGATTTCTTTTTTGAATTTGTTGGTCTGATGAATTGGATCGTAATTACGATTCCAATGTAATAAATTATAACCATGGAATATTAGTGTTTAAATCTTTCTTTATATATATATATATATATATATATATATATATATATATATATATATATATATATATATGTGTGTGTGTGTGTGTGTGTGTGTGTGTGTGTTGTCTGATGACATGTATTGTATTTATGTATGTATATATGAATATAAAAGTAAATACTGAAGAGGCCAGATGATTGCGTCTAGCATGAAACAGCCTGTCGCCTCTGAGTGTTGACTTCAATGTTCACTTTTTATTTATATTTACATACGCTCTATCTCTGATATTGAGCACTTTATCCCATAAATATAGCACACCTTGAAACTCTATTTCTTTATATATAAATATATATATATATATATATATATATATATATATATATATATATATATATGCGTGTGTATGTGTGTATGTACAGTCTGTCTGTAAATTAACTACTGCCTCTGAAAGCGAATGTAAAGTTAAATTGAGATATCAAGACAATTTTTTTAACAAAAGCAACAGTAAATAAAATTAATTTACCGAAAACACATGAGTGAAATTCGCAGTGGAAATTTTGCAATCTTTTAGAATATTTCCTTCCAATTCTCCTTTCCTTAAATGAAATTCTTTAAATCCTCAACTCTTTTCAGGTTTTCTCTTGTAAACAGCATTCTACCTATTGCCTTGGATGTAAAGGTGCGACAACAAACGACCTTGCTGCGAAAATAAGTTGTCCATTTCTCCCAAGCCGTCAATTTAGAAATTTTTGCTCCATAAAGTTTCTGACGATATATAAGTAATGGGCAGGTGCGTGCTGCTGTAAAATTGTTGATTGCAAAGGCCTCCAGGAGAATTGTAGCCACATAAATAATGGAGCGTTTTCAAAAGGATTTCTCTTTCT